AGTAAAATATCATAATGGATCGAGGAAGCGAATAATCGATCGAAATTTCAAGCAGTGAAGGTCGCTGTGAGCCAAAATACTAGGCTTTGGTATAGTAACTGTGTAGATGAAAGAATTAAGTGTGACATAGCGAAAAATCTGACAGTTTATTGATGTTTTATTCTTTTCATTATTTAAGGTTACCCGACGTATAAGCTGCCTTTCTTCGCCTGATAAATTAAAGAATAGTGAAGGTTCAATAACGATGTATGGTGCACGTTGCATATCTTCTGTTGCAAAAGGCGAAACGTCTGACGGTTTAATATACGGCCATGGTAGCATTACCCTGATGTTAGTCTTCATTCTTTTTTAGAAGAACCTTTGCTTTTGATATTGTGTTTTTTACTACTTTGACAGTTTGCATATGATTATGATAAAAACTGTGTCCAAATTTTTTCAGCCCGGATTCTTTTCTTAGTTTAGATGACAGGTGGCGTTCGGAGAAGAATTTGACGAAGAAACTTATCGATTTAGGGAAGGTAACATCTTCCGCATTTTCTTCATTTTTATACTATTGACTGGTAAATCCTTTGCAAGGACCGGGGAACATCTTAAATGACAGTTGTTGACATTTAGAAAATGCATATGAGCCCATTCGTACGCATGTCGATTGTGCCAGATAATAGTGGAGAATCGAGTTCATCAGAAGACGATGATGAAACAAGAAGTTGTTCAAGTACGTACATAATTAAATCTTCATGGCATGCCTGTGTGTGATTTTGTAAAATTGGACTATTATCTTTTTTTTTTTTTGAATTGAAGTAGAACTATGCCTCCAGATATAAATTAATTTAGGTTTTGCCACATCTGTTTCAACTGGTTGTATAGACCGTTGTCATCAAAACAGTGAGATGTCAGCAAAGGAATCCATACATAGCTTTGCATCAGCAGAAACCGGACTTCAAAGAGATGACAGTGTAGTCCACTTTATTCTAATGAAAATCTCTTTTGCACTCATTCCTATTTAAATTATTCAACACGAAAGTGTTGCATATTTTAAAACATTTATCTTTCAGGGTTTTGAAGAGTATATGAAATCACGGTTCAAGCGAGAAATGTCGTTAAAATTTCCTAAGCAAATATGGTGTGCTTTATTTCATTTTTTGGTAGCTGGACTGTATGTCTATGTTACATAAATTTATATACTGTCTGTTTATGCTTTATAGCTATCGCTTTATCACGAGGTACAATGACGAACCGAATACTAGTTTTCCGGAAAGCAAGCATCTACTTTGTTCCGAAACTTCATCAGATTTGGTAAAAAGTGAGCTGCTGATTTCAAATGCTAACGTTGAAACTGCTATAAATGGTGGTAGAAGTCAGTTTTCTTTTTTTTTTTTTTTTTTTTTTTTTGGAATTGAAGAGTATATTATTTTATTTTTAGGAAATAATATTCTGTTGTATACATGAAACAATTTTAGGACATTGTTCTCCGTTGAAAGAAGTTTCTCCAGGAAAGGTTTTGAATGGACGATTATTTTCCAAACCTCTCACTTCACCTAAATCTTCACCAAAGTCAGTTCCATCATCGCCTACTAAATATCGTTTGGATGTTCCACGTCGAGATAAACCCTTGGCTGCTATGGTTGATAGTTTAGCATCCAAATTTGAGAAATGTTCTAAAATTGTGCCGCCCAAATCTGTTGCTCCCGACGATAAAGTAACCGTTTTTAATATCTTTCAGTGGAATCTTTTTGTAAATTTAATTATTTAGCTTTCATATTGATAATCCAAGCAACATGTCTGCTATTTTCAGGTTACAGTTCCCGAACTGCATTATGAAGGATATCCCGAACCGGATGGTAATGGAATCGTTACACGCTTTGTTTCTCCGGCCAACAAATGTTTTTTCTGTCTTGGAACATTTCCTGATATGTTTGCTTTGCTACTTCACATGAGAACAAGTTATCCACGACTTGACATAGTATACAGAGTGCGTTCTTGATTTTTTTTTATAACAATTTTTAAATAAGGTTATTGAACACTATGTTTAATATTTTCTTCATTCTCTTGTCACAATACGCATAACTATTGAAAGAAATTTGCATTTTTGATTTGGGTAATTTCATGTTTTGTTGCATCTAAGCTATATTAAATTAATTTAATATAAGTTGGATTAATTTATATTAAATGCTTGTGTAGGGTGATGCACGGCAGACAGCTGTTATAAATAACGGTGCACCGGTTTTCATCGATGTGTTCGTTCGCAAACATTTCGACGGCTCGTATGAAGGTTCATTGGTTCGGCAGTACACAACTTCTCGTAATAGAGTTATACCACAACATTGTATTCCCAGTGATCGCCTCACTTACATTGTTCACAAGTTAGTTTTTTTACCTTTTCAAACATTTTTTTGAATCTAGAGAGCAGTTCATCATTGTTTCAGAGTTGAAGCAAGAGCTATTCGTAAAATGCCAAAGGATCTTAGCATTTTTTTCATGCAAGCTGATCGAGAAAGACGTGCTACGAAGGGAAATAATGCGTAAGCTCTTTATTTTTAAACATTTATTCCGGCGTAAATAAAATAAAGTGCATGTATTTCTTGCTTGAATAAAATGCTTCATTTCCATAATTTTTATTAACATGGTAAGTTACTTGTAGAGCATATTTCGGTTTCCGCAGCAGGCATCCTTTAATGAAATGCACGCAGATATCAACGAAGCAGACGGATCAAGAATGGTTACGGGAATTCATTATCAGAGCAAGTATTGCAGCCTGTTTTAATGCTATTTTGTGCAAAGTTTACAAAATTTTTAATACTTGAGTATATAAACATCTCACTTGTTGTTATTTCTTTTTAGCAGATTGAAGATTTTCTCGATTTGTCACGTGTTGAGAAGGATTTTATGTCGTTGTGGAGTATTTTTCTTCTCAATCTTAATCACAAGCCACTTGGTCGTTGTCACACATATCGCACTTGCGTAAGTGTATTTCGATGCTTTTAATTCAGTTTTTTTTTTTTTTTTTTTTTTTTTTTGCACAGATCATTTTTCATAGCTTGTTATATTTATCGAAGATTTGAATTTTGTATAATTGTTTATTAAAAGTTCGGCATATTTTCCAGCGACTTTTCCTGCAAAAGCATCGGCAAGATATCTTGCAAAATAATTTTCAAAACGCTTGGGTATTTCATCTCACTGCTTTACATGAAAAAGAGGCGTTGGATACAGACGAGGTGTATGACTTGACGATGCGTTTAAAAGATAATTATGACCCCAGTACGGACGTTCGTCATGTGGTCTATGCGTAAGTGTAATCGTGATCAGATTCTGTTCGGATTTTGAGAGGTTGTTTATAGGAATTATTTTCAGTTTTTCTGAATATTGTTTTTACTTGCTTTTTAGTACACGTGCACGATTAGAAGCAGCAGCTTCTAGTGCAAAACGAGAACCTCCAGCTTGGCAGAAAGAACCAGTACATGGGCCCAAAATTTCAATACTAAGGAGTTCATCCGTTGCGCGTCTGTCATCTCTAGAGCCGAATTCCGATAACGAAGTTTGATTTCGCGGAGAATTTCATTATAAAAATTTCGTTACCTTATGGTTTTACTATTTTTGCCTGTTTCAGGATATGTTCAAAAAATTCATGAACGATTCTGGTCGCAAAGAGAGGCGAAGTAGTAGCTGTTCAGTAGATGAGCCCAGCCGAGTAAGTGATTTTGTTTACAAAATGTTTATTCATGCATCTGTTTGTCTCATCTGGTAATATTTGTCATATCTGCGCAAGAAATACTTCTTTTTCCCTTATTTTTGTCAGTACTGGCTTTCATTTGTTTTCTTCAGCATTCAACAAGTCGTCGTCAACGTGAACCTGATTGTTCGAAGTATCTGACAACACCTCGTGCTACGCAACCACCGAAGTGGTTATCCTTTGCCGAATAACTTTTCTGCTCATAAATTTCACTTTCTACAATACGGTAAACTTCGATGTAGTTATACCATCCAGCTTCGTTATATATTGTCATTATTTACCAATTTAAGTCAGCAGTGAGACTGGGCAGAAACTTTCATAATTTTAAAAACAAATACTTTTCTAGCTAGGTGAATTTTTCGTATTTTCTTGATGTTTTCGAAATTTTGTTTTCCTTGCTTTTTTGTGTAAACAAACAGAACACAAATTTTTTTCGAACATACCCTTAAGCGAGGTAACATCTTCCATTTATTGACTAGAGTTTGATTGGATCCGTAATTAATTTCGCCGTTCAACTGCAAATTTGTTGTTGGAAAAGGTTTAGGCATTCAGCAAATAGTAAACGGGTCTCAGTTAGTTAAGGATATTTAGTATTATGTATTTGGCAATTAGCCTTTTTGGTTTACTTAATGACTTTTTTTTTCATTAGTGAAATGCAAAAACTAAAAGCTGTGGGCAAATGAAAGCATCGGAACTAATGCGCAGAACTGATTGGCTTAGTGAAACTTTTTTCAGGGTTGAATCATTTTATGAATATGACGCACTGTTAATCATTTATGCAGGATCGCTGTCAAAAACTGCCTTGCAATTTTTTTGCAGTCTTTCTTTGATAGGCAATGCTGATAATTTAACATTTAGTATCTATGGTTCTTATGTAATACTTTTGCAAGCTGAAACAATAGTTAACGTCTATCCGTTTTGCTTCGATATTAACAATATTACTGTCTACTTTTTTTTATTTGTTTCTATTTTGTAGTATTTGTATTTTTTGTCTTTTTATTTTGTAATATTTGTATTTCTTTGTCCTTTCATTTTGTGCTATTTGTACTTTTTTTTTCATTTTAGAATATTTCACACAGTTTGGTCTATGAAAAAATTACTACTCTTCCGGGAGGAGGGTGAGAGAGGTTTGGAAACTGTAAAATGGCAGCGGTACGGAGTCTTTCAAATTATTTTTTGGCCATTATTTATTTATTTTTCCTATTCTTTGTGTCATAATTCTCTATTGTCATCTAAAATTCGTTTTCATTTCATCAAGTTATTAATTTATTCATCCCATAAAATTAAATGCTTCATCTAAAGTGTGGTTGAAATTGGCACTTTTTAAGTGCTCCGGTAACGTTTCAGGCTTCTGAAGTCCATATGCATATCTATCTCTTAAATTTACCAGTCCTGGCATCGTTTTATTTCTGTTGTTTATTTCTCTACTTTGATGATATTTTGCAAGCGATGTCTTTAACTTATAATTCACCCCAAGGGCTGAAATCATGAATAGATTGTGAATATCGTTTACAATATTATTGTATTAGTACACATCTTATTGCGCTCTGTTGTTGTAGGATACCAACATTATTTTATTCTATCAAATTGTGCAAAATTCAGGTGTTTTGTTTCGTTTTATATTGTTTTATTTCGTGTCGTACTAATGAATTGGCAGTTCGCCAACATTGTGTTACAGTCTAGGAAATTCTATTTATATATTGTTTGTTGTCTAAAAATGTTGGGCTTCTGATCTCTAATTTTATTGAAAAGTTCCACTAATGAAAATTTGTGATCAGTATCTTTTCTTGTCAGAAGCATTTCAAAATTTTCAACTCACTTTTAGTATAAAATGAGTTGTAGAGCCTTCTCTTGAAGAGACTTGCGATTTGTTTTAGTAATTTTCGCTTCATACTCCACGATCAAAGGTGCTAGAAACCTCCATTAAAGTTGAAGAGTTATTTATGATATTTGTAGTTGAAGTTCCTTTTGGACTATTCCAGATTTGAACATTTAGCATTTAAAGCTTCCATTATGATAAGTTGAAAACTTTGCATATAAGCAGTGAGGTTTCACTTATCAGTTATTGAGTCTCTTCGTTAAGATGAAGTGGCGGATGCCTATTGCTTACCCACACTTTGAAATTTCAGAACTGGCTGAAAATATTCATGACTTTATATTAGACCATTGTTTTTATAACCTTTAAGGCCCATTTAGTTGTAAATGGAATCTTCTCTTCATACTTCTGAAGTCTAAAAAAATCACATGAAATTTTAGTGTTGACGGATGAGATATTAAACGATAAGATTTATGTGAAGTATATGATTGGACCATTACCGTAGGGTATAACTGCTTCATATATTGAAGCAGTTATTCGCGTATTTCCTAGCGTTGACGACGTTCTAAACAAGGTTGCTGTTATCTGTGCGTAGTTTGGACTACAGCTGTGCTGTAATAATGTGTATTAGGAAGTGTATAGATTAAAAGAAAAGTCAACTAGGTTAATCCCAATGGCATGATATAATTGAAGTCAGTCTTAGCGGATCACTGATGGACTGATTTAACGGATGAGTATTCTAATTCTTAACAATTACTTTGAACTGGGTTGTGTTCATAGCTAACACGAGGCATATGAAATGGTTATTTTTTTGGTTGGTCACAATTTCTTATGAACACAAGTTGAAAAACTTCGAATATGCATACATAGAATTTCGAACAACACACCCAAGGTCAGTATAATTTTTGGTGTGAGGGATTACACACTAGGTACAGAATTATCAAACTCTTCTTACCTTAGCTACCTATTTCCATTGACGATTGGCAAGTCATCAAGAGCAAAATGCAAACTACAAGTCATTCCCTTTTCAATTTCATTACGAAAAACACATTCTAAAGCTGATTAAAAATAAGTTCAGAAATGGATCACCCAATAAATTTCACAAAAAATTCGTCAACAAATATGTAGTATAAATAAAAATTTAACATAGCGTTCTTCCCCAACAAAGCAGTCTTTCTGAATGAATGCTTTAGTGGATATGATAAGAAATGGTGAGAACGAATCAGATTCATTATTTGTTCAGTATCATGGGCTATTGGTTTTGTAGTTATGATACGAAACTAAAAATGATACAACACATTGAATGGAGAAAAGAATGAATGAAAGACCTCTGTGAACCAGTTTTCCATTGTTTAACGCATAATTTCTTCTTTTAAACAGCATTTAGAAAGAATAATCCAATTTCACAGGAATAAAATATTGATGAAATATTACTTACTAATTTAGATTATCAAAAAAATAGGTTGCAATAGTCATTAACTATCATTTTTTTAATTGATATTGCATGCAAATGAAAATCAATCTAGTGAAAGAAGTTTTTCGGCTTTTAATTGGTCATAACTTCCTAATTCTAAAACTCCTTAGAAGTGACAGTTAATTTTTTATTAGCCATTTCAACCACTTCTTTTTACCAACAATTTGAAGTTTGGCTCACAAATTATTTTGACAGTACGGTGTGAGGACCTGATTTATATAATTAGCCTAATTGAGCTAAATGGAATTAATCGATATGCACAATTGTCGAAAATATATTTTAAAAAGAAAAAAAAAACTGCTTGGTAATGAAGTGAGAAAACTTTCACTTATATATATATGAAAAAAATGAGGTGAAATAAGTCTTTACTTTTCTTATGCTATTGATACCTTAAAGGAGTTATTTGTAATAACTGACGCCTAAAAGCATATATACGAGCATATAACCACCATTGTCAATTATTTTCCAATAAGAAAACAAGTAAAAAAGATCTTCAAAGTGAAGGCATGAATCAAGAAAAATCCTCTTATTTTCGAGATTTATATGAAAGCGATAATGATGACAGTACTGTTGAGCACTAGGGAAGTATTTCCTCATCAGCAGTTTGATTTAAGTATTTCAATACAGTATTATGGCATGGGATCGATTACTAAAATTGAAGTTTATATGCTGATGCAAGGTGTGGGGATAAATGAGTCGGGTATTCTAAACAATAACAACAACGACGCTAAGTATGGACATAGAAAATAAATCGTTTCCAAATGTGAAAATGTTTCCATTTATCCGATCACAATTTTTTATTTCATGGGAAAATTGCTATGAATTTGTTTTACTTTGTATGCGGACAGCTTTGCCAACTGTTTTCGATGGGTTTAGCATAAAACGTAAGTCTACCAAGAAAGATAGGGTTTGTGTTAAAACATCGTTTTATGACGAATGCTATTCGTTAATGTGTGTTAGTTTCATCTATCATTTCATTTTTGATATGTTGATAATCAGAATTAAAAGTTGGAATGCAAGATTGCTTTGTGATTCTATCCTGGCAATTCTTATTTACCGATTTGTTTACGATTTCTTCATTACTTGTTTGCCTTCATTTTCTACTGCAATCTAACGGTATAGTATCAGCTAGTACTTCGCCATTTTAACTAACATCGGAAAATTCGATTTCCCAAGAAATTCAACTTAGAAGCTTCATTAATTTGCGGGAATATCAAAGCTAAATTGTGTGGAATTAAATCAAGCGCAATATTGGTTAATGTTTAACACTTGAAGCTATCAGTATTATATACGGGACAGAAGACTACGTTCGATGTAACGTTCCATCGTTATGAAGAAATTTGCGTAAGAAGATAAATCGGTACAATTTGCAACATTCTTGCTTGCTATTAGCGTGAAGTTTGTTAATGACCGCTCGAGAAATTGAGTGCAGATAGATATTAATTATCTGCGTTGTCCACAAAATACATTTAAAAGTCCTTTACATTCTTGTTCACATGTCATCATTGATTACTACTATCATATCTCCTTTCAGTGTATGGAATTAGGAGGAGGACAGTTTGTAGAAGGGTTCAACAGTGTTCTTCATTTATAGCATAACCAAGGGCTGATCGCTACCAAGGGACAGCGGACAACCAAATGTCCACTCCACCCTGTCGGCATCACTAGTTCCCAAAAGAGCAGATAATAAGGAACACCAGTGGTGGTAGCAGTAAATGCACTCGCTCGCGTATACTATGTTGAATTTCAATATGCATTCGGAAGGGTTGACGAGCAGAGTGTGTAGAGTGGAATGGAGGATGAGGAATGGGACGGGACGGACCGTTGGGTGTCGACCCCAAGGACAGGCGCTTCTCAACGACAGGCGCTTCTGCCAACGAGAAGTGGCAGTGGCGGCAGCTTTAACTCAGCACACTCTTCTTTCTCGGACATCTCGATCCTCATTCTCCCTCAGCTGTAATCTCATGCAGCAAGCTGTTTGTGTTAGCAGCAGGGCAGCGCTATGGTCACTTCACTCTCGCAAAAACACAAATGTTTTCTTCCCATTTCGTCTATGCTTATTGGCATTTCGCTTGTTTCAGTTGAAAGTTTCCTTTTCAAACATGTATGTTCTTCACACTCAATTTTGTTACTTCGCAAACTGCAAATTCCTCATTACTTTGCTTTCATTTTTCTACTTGTCTATATTATTTTGCAAGGCTTATCAGTCACTCAGTGCGTTCCCCTTACTTCCATCTTCTTTTTTTCTGATTGTGATACTTATTGTTTCATTTTTCAGTTGTAACAGTCATTCTTACCTTTAATTAAATTTTCATAGTTTCCAATAAATAATTAATCATTATGCTCCATTCGTTTGTCTTCCTTTTTCTGATTTACATGAACCGAAATTAGTCCAGTTTAAAAATTCACTAAAATGAGTAAATTGGCATATTGAAGCATTCACTGTCATCAAGAAAAACAAACGACTGTCGTACACTACTTTATTTCTACGTTTCTTTTCAGAGTCTATTAATATTATGTGGAAACACAAGTTCATCATTGTTTCCCTTCTTTCCATCTTGTTTGCTGCGAAATCATGTCTAATAATTATTCGTGGATTGTTAATAATTATGCGACAAATTTTCAGATTACTTGAGTGGATTAATTTAAAAGTAATGACTAATTATAATTTGCTGAAACGCTCTAATATACTGTATTTGTTGAACACAATTGATTTCTGTTGTTAACATATGTGAATATTGTCATCCATTAATTGCTTCTGGAAAATAACACTATGGAATTTGAAATGAAATGAATGAAACTTCAAGTTATATGAAGGACTCGATAGTATGCTTACTGCAATCATTTTTCAATATTACAGTCGAATGAGAAAAAAGTGATGAAAATTTCGTTACAACCAAAAGAAATGATTGAAATCATTATCAGTTGAAACCTTTATTGCGCCATCTTTAACTGTTGCTTCCACATACATCTACAATGCCGTGTTCATTTCGAGCCCGTGTAAACCAACTTTGGTCTATATGGTACACTATAGTAATGGTACTTCTACAGACTTACTTAATTTATCTTGGTTTCGAACGTTACCGGTTATATTCGGAAATGAAATGGCCTCATGGTGCCTATCCAAGCCTATGGTTAAGTGTTTATGTTGTACTGTATTCCTCATGCATACCTGGTTTACTATTGTTTATGGCATTTGGAATATTCAAATCTGGCAATGTTGCTGGCGATAACGATCGACTTGGTGCTCGAATTGATCGTGTTATTGAAATTACTCGGAATTCATATAGAAAAGGTTTCATGCTAATCAACGCTGAAAAAAAAAATGCTAAAAAAAAGTTTTATACTGTTTTATGTCGAATTTTTACAGTTCAAAAGTATTGAATTGGATCTAACCTTTGTTTACTGTATTGCAGGAAGATGCTCACTTTTGCAATGCATCAAGTCATTGTGGCAGCATGCACCACCGTTGCCACAACTTATTCATCTATTGATGGCGCTTTTTCAATTGTTTGCCCAACAAGTGATGTTATCACAACTTTATCGATATGGCTTCATCAATTCCGGTAAAATTATTACTGCCTTTTAGTTTTGAAACCTGAACTTGTTTTCTCTTCTAGCACCATACACAACTGATATTTTTTTAAATTCATGTTAGGGAAATCATTTTAGAGACAAAAAGGAAAAAGAATTGGCCCATTTTTAAACGATTGTAATATTATGCAAAGATCCGAATTTTCAACTTTTTAAGTTTATCCTTTTCTTTCTCTCTCTCTCTCTCTCTATATATATATATATATATATATATATATATGACGTGTGTGTTAATGGGTGAATATATTTGGTTATTTGAGTATGCCTCATACGTTGATGTCCTTATATACATGAAAGATATCCTATACCACGTAGTGCCAAACGCCTTTTGATTTCGGCAAACATAGTGAAATAGCCAGTGTTATCACAAAAACGCATTTTTTTTTTTTTTTTTGATAAAAAAGCCTAGCGAAAGACGACGCATGAAGTTGAAGGAAAAAATAGTGTCGAGAATGCGACTTAAAAAACTTAGAAATACTCGATATTACTTCTCTTCCCATACTTTATTGACGTTCCTTCGTTTTACGTCTTTTTTTCATTTGACTGCGGTTTGTGAATATAGTCATTATCAGAATCGATAGAATAATTACTTGACCAGTTGCAAATAGGAAATTTTTGGTAATATACAAATTAGGAAAATAATACGACAATATTTGGAGGAATTTGAAATTAGTGCAATTTCATAACATTCTAATCTTCTAAGTCAATTGTCCAAATAAAGTAGTCGATTACAAGTAGGTGTAACATGATATGGACTGCTTTTCATGTTGTTAATTGATATTTTTAACATTTTGACTTTAAAATTGGTCAATAAATATTACTAAGTATACCTAATCGACGAGATCAGTATTAATAACCTCTTTCATTCAATTCTGATATCAAGTTTAAAATTGATGAAAAGTACATAGCACGAAAATATAGTGGGCATTGATATTATAGTTCATTTGATCCATTTCCGCACTACCTTTCGCTTTCATAGCTGAGCGACGTCACGAATCCTCTGAAAAGCTTCAGAATACTTTTATTAATTAATGCTGGAAATTGTTCGGAGTTAAGAGCTCTATCATTCCAGTTGTTTGCTAAGACTATAGTAAATGTTAAAAATAAAAGATTTAGTCTGCTAACATCAGAACTAAGTGGAAATCTTGAGATCGGAAATTAATATTCCTCTTTACTAAATGTAGGCGCTAATTCTGAATTTCGAAATAACTTGAATTATTAAATATTTTTCAGTCTTTTCAAATTACTAACGAGCTTCACAACATTAGTACTTTGCATGATAATCATGTCTTTCAAAAATTACAGGTGATTTTTTGAACACAGAACTCGATTTCGTGTATCAGCGCGCTCGACAACTGGCGGCAAATCTGCCTATGCTGGATAATCGATTGCAGGGTTTTCGTATATCGGCACAGGATTTGGCTGCTACACCAATCAGTCCTAATTTATTACCAAGTAAAATTCGATTTTACTACTATCTCCAGAGCTAAAAAAATTATGGGGTTAGATGGTCTAAATGATAGCTATCTCACCTGATATCATTTGATAAGAATTCAGAAGACAACATGATAAAAATATTCAGTATTGATGCATGCTCGTTTGTTTGGCATACCGCTGGAATTCGTCAATTTACTGATTGCACTATTCGTCTACACGTGTGCTTATTCAGCAGTTTTCTGGCATACCAACAAGCCATTTAGTTTTATATTTTCTCTTCATTTATTGATTTACTCGACGACAATCATTTGGTCTTATCTCGGCTTTAGTGTTCTTCATCGTATACAAGAAACAAGCTACTCTAGTATCCGACCGATCGGTCTCGGTATGTCAAATTATTTATGTATTTATTTATTTATTTTTTTAAATGATTTATTGTGATCGTTTTTCATTAAATTTTGTTTATTTGGCATTAAATGTTTGAGTGACTCCTGTTTTCAAATTTTCTTTTCATTTCAAATCTTATTATAACTATCAAATTAGTTAGGTCACCTGGTTTAGGGCAATATTTGATCTCTTCACGTCCCTTAAAAATTTATCATCCATCCGCAATTATTGCCACCTATGTTATGACGATTGTGCTTATTAGTATTGCACCTGTTGCATTGTATATGTATGGTTACAGCAAATATTTTGTAAGTTGCCTCTGAATTTCCTTTTTTTTTTTTTTTTTAAATCTTTGACAATTTAAAAATCAAAGTCCTTCATTGGAGACTAAGCCCCTGAAAATATAATATTTTTATCAGATAAGTATGTCAAATGTGCGGCAGAAGAGTGCCTTTCAAAATCAGACTAGCAGTATTAATGGTGCGCAGAGTGAGTATTCAGAATATCGTCTCCGAAGCTCATCCAAGGTGCCACAAGCGAGACTATGTTGTGATGGGTATGTTTTGACATGTTTTTGCAATGTAGATAATACTTATAGAAAAATTATGAACTTTTACTGGCAATTTCTGCAGTAAATAGTATATTGAAACACTTCTCTAAAATTCGAATTCCTTCTTGAAGTACTTGAAGTCAGTGATTTAAATCATTTTAGTTATGCACCTCACATATTTGCAATAATTTTGCTTGTTTTAATTGTTATAACCAAAGCTCCAACTATATATGCCCATATGGTTATCTATCAGGTAATCTACTTATGTATTTTTTCACAGATCTCACTATATAATCGCATGCTTCGGTTGAATGGTTTTTTTTTTTTTTTTTTTACTGTAAAGAAAATGAGATATGAAGAGTGAGTGAGAAAAAACGAAGAGAAAATGTTCTATAGTTTATTTCCTATGGAGCATTTTATTAAATTTTAACTATTGTGAAAAGTGTTTTGGGTTTACACAATTTCAGTAACTTGTTCATTCAGGATTTTAAGCTGCATTTATTTAGGATGAGGAAAATTTGTAGGAGGAAGCTACTGTAGGAATAAAGGTCATCAACTAAGAATTTTATTTTCAGCATGAGGAAAAGGCGTTATTGTTATCTTGTATCGTTGTTGATATTGTTTTCCTCTTTGCTTGGATTATTCTCTGGCTTATACTTACACTTAAAAGAGATTGGAATTTCAAAGTTTTTCATCAAGTGCATGAAATTATTGCTTTGCAAGTAATAAATAACCTAAGTTTATTTATGCTTTGGTTGTGATAATATCTGATGAAGACACGGTAGTGTCCGTTACAAAAAGTTTTAAGATTATTTAAAGATGAACAGATAATAAAAATTTTTCTGTTTTCTAGCAAACTCATGATTTGTAACTTGATGAAACTTAATTGTGTTATTTTTTAATTGAATGACAAGAAAGTGTTGTGAACAACTTTTCTGATTAACTGAAAAGTTGCAGAATGGGCCTCAAACGATGATAGCTTCGCCCAAAAAAATCATGGAAAAGAAACCATCTGAATTAAAAAATTCATTGATATTAATGCATGGTGACCAGGTGATTTTTTAGGTTTTCTTAATGAAAAGTTTCAATTTTATTACTGAAATACTAATTATGAGTCGAAAATTTCTTCGTTTCCAAACTTCCATGCATTTTGATATTTGAAGTCGATGAGGGTGTTAAATGCAAAAATGATGTTTTATCGCACTTAGAATTCCAGATGTATCTTACGGATGATACCATAGCTAAAAAGTCATTATTACGACAAACACAGAAAAACGTGATTGGCACTGCAAGCGAAGATATTTACTGGTTGAAAGGAAATAATATGCAGTCACCCACAACGAGGTTCTTTGGTGCTTCGCTATTGTAATTTTCCCTCTCCTTATTTACTTAAATGACTTAGTCGTATTTACTTGGCCACCTACTGACTGTTTTGTTTACGATATTTCTATGATTTTCATGCTGTGCTTCTTCAGAAGAGTTCCACAATGTGAAAGTGTAAAAGAAACATTGGAAATGAATCGGCTGCTTGGTCCATCTGCAGTTCATCGGCAAAGTAGCGACGGAAACTCATCACCTACTGCTACTTACCATACGGCATGTTGACGAAATTTTGTTCATTTCTTACTATAAAAATTTCGGTGCTACAGTACTAGTAAAAGAAAAATTTCTAATTCCAATCTTTAAGTTAATTCAGGAATTGATATTTTAATCTTTTCTACATTAATATGCAGATTTCTCATACCATACAATCACAAATGACGCATCCATCGCGACAGCGGATTATAATGAATATTCCCAAATATTCCAGTGAGGCAAAAGTTTCAGCAAATGTAACAATGCCCGGCAATACGTTTGCAACATTCCAGGTTTGTAAATTTATGCACGTCGGTTTTGGTAGAAATTTTGGAGCTTTCCACATTTGCAAGTTTACTTTAATTTTTCCTTAAAGATTCAAATTGAAATTTTGGGTTTCTTGATTCTGATTTTCCTAAAAACTGCCCTGAAGTCGCTCTTTTCAATTTTTTAGCGAGCTCAAGGATCGGAGTTTGCATTTGGTAGCAGTCGGCAAATGATGCAAAACCCCCGAAGACCATCCCTACAAAATTCGATGAGCGCATGCACTGGAAACAATACTTCTGATATTACACCTTTGACGGTGAACATAAACTTTCTTTTCAACTTTTTATAAATAATGAAATAGGAGAGGTAATGGAATTATCAAAATTTAAAAGATATGTACAGTTCTTGCTACATTTTGCTTCATGGAGTTTGAAGTATAGTACTGCTTTGTCATAATTTGACGGTAGACAGTTTCAAAACAGATTTTTCCCAGACAAAACTTTTTTCCAAGCTGGTTTGTAGTTCCTCCTTACAGCAGAATCATTGTTTAGCAACAGGAAGCATATGCTTCAATTCTCAAAAACCGGACTGGACAAACAGAAACAATAACAAGACGTGGTTCCAAAGATGACGGAGCAGTTAACACTGGGTTTGGAAATGTGAGTGTTTCATATGGAACACATGCGACTTATGGTCGACCTCAGGTTCAAAATGAATTTTCTTTATTTTTTTTAGTACCATGTAATTGTGTCATCTTCCAGAAGTAACAAGTTGGTAGTTTTGATTATCTGAAAATTATAGAAGTTTTCATTCTTTTGAGTGATATGAATAATGTTTTAGGAGTTAGACTCATGCTTTTTAGAATCAGCAATTAATGCAACAAGCTGCTGTTCAAGCTGCTCAGGTAGCTCAAGTGAGTCGAAATAAGGACACTGTTTATAACAGAACACAGGTTCTTTCTTCAGTTTTAAATTTAGACTATACATTTCCAAAAAAAAAAAAAAAAGAAAAAATTTTTCAGAAATGAGACCTAACTCTTAGCACAGTTTTAGCTAATTATATCATTTCAGACTAATACATCGCAGAATGTGTTGGAGAGTGGGCCAACTTCTTCAGTGCTTTCAATCCGAAGTAGTCCCGTCGCTGAAAATCGTTTAGGTACACGCACATCTATTTCCAGCAGGTTGGCAGTTTTTTTGAACCCTTCCACTCTATCAACTGTTTAGTTAAGAAGTAATGGAATCTCTTTTTAAATCTCCGAATAATTATAATTGTATACCAAGAGTTCATATCTAAAACCATGGTAAAAGCCATAAAAAGTTTCCAGGGAACATTCGCCGTATCAAAGAGTTCCCAACCTAAAATTATCATCATTCAGTAGTGTTATTCCTGCTGTTGATTCGCATAAGCTAATTAATATCGAACAACAGCAACAGAACTGTGGTGCTGGATGTATCTATGGAAACTGGTCACAACAGCGACAAATTTCACAGATCTCTCAGGCAGTGGATTGGTGTCCCTCATCATATGATAAGGTTCGTTTATTTGTTTCCACAGAAGTCATTCCATTGGAATTCTAAGCCATTATTGCTTCAAAAGGAATGAGTGTAAGTATATGCGTCCATTTTTTTTGGTTAGAATTTACATAATAATTTAAAAGCTATACAACAAAGTCGTATAACTTTATGTCAGAATTTATGAAATCGAATACCTTCAAGAGTAATGTCTCATAACCACAACTACTGTAGTACTTGTTCTTTTTTAGGTTTTTTATATTTAAAGTAAGATTTTGTACATATGGGCGTGAGTTGCTACGTTTTGAGGATTCGTTTGTTATTTTACTATATCTTTTTTTTTTTCTCTCTCTCACAAATGCAACTAATAACTTCGTTTTGAAATAGTAATCTGATAACTAATATGAATATGCAAACTTCTCATGCTACAATATAAACAAATGAAGTTTGAATTTTTCCAATTATTTACCTGAAAATATGAAAGGAATGCTTCTAACATTCTGCTGGTGTGCTTCTAATGTTTTTGAATACAAGTTTGATGTGACGACAAAGATAAATTTTGTTCCACAACACTACTTGCATTGCTTACTGTAAGCAAATCTTTTTTTACACCTGAAAAAGTGATACGGCACACTGACTGACTGAATGAATTATTATTTCATTTCAGCAAATGTGACACTAGTTTATATTAGCATGAAGATTTCCAGATTTCATCGACAATTCAGCAGGAACAGTGTTGCACTCCCACATCGACACTAACTAGTCAAGGCAGTGCAAGTAACTGTTCGTCACAACAAGCACCTACGCCAGGATCGCCCAATTCACAAAATATTTATAGCGGAGGACGATTTGTAAGTAGTCGCACAACTGGTACTATTAATCTTCACGGTAATTTGGGTTCTGAGTACGGTACTTCACATCTGGGAGACAGTGATCGAGATCGAACGTTGAGAGCTCAACAGCAATCAAAATCATCGCATACCACAATTGTTAGTGGGAGTACGTCGACACGACATCAAATTAAGGTTAGCATTGGCGGTTCACGTCAAGATGATTCAGCTAATTACAGTTTAACATCTAGTAATGAATCTACAGAAAATGCTCGTCTTAGTGGACAAACAAATCGCATTATGGATTCAACTGAATTTGCGACCAGTATTGTTTGAACATACTCTATTGTATAATTAATATTCAATTGTTTCATTTTCTTCAATGTTAGAATCTAGGAAAATACACGGAAGAAAATTTTCCCAGTTCCAAAGTAACTAGTTTGCTGGTTGCTACTTAGTTACCTCATCTCAACAATTTAGTCTGGTAAACTTCTCCCAATTTGAACAGCTGACAAAATGAGTTCCATTTCACACTTAAGTCACTCTCTTATGTATTTTATCCTTGTATAATTTTTTGACGCATAATATTGTTGATGTCTGACAGTTCATTACAATAAATTTTCTCGTACAAATATTTCAATTTGACCTTATCGCAATGCAAGAATAATCCGTATAGTTAGGTAAAAAATACTATCGGAAGCTGAAAGCAAAAAACAACCAACAAATAACCTTAAAACAATAGCGAGGAACACTGAAAGTGGCAAATAGATTATGTAAGAAGTGTGAGCTAAATCTATTATTAATATATGCAAAGTCCCACCGGAGTTCCATGTGCAATCCATGACGTAGTCATAATGAAGAGCAGGTACAGCAAATGATTTAGTTTTTTTTTTTTAATGATTTAGATTTAGTCTAATTATTATTATAATTTCTTGAGATTATTTTAGTAAATAACAAGAAGAAAATTCCATCTAGAAACGTTCAATTAATTTCTCGGTACATATAACCGGAATTTACACCGGTAAACATAATATAGCAATGTTATCTTTTCCAAGCAGATATTTATTTAATCTACAAATTTCCAGTCTAAAAATTAAAGCTTATCATAATAGCATGGGTCTGAAATCCATCTCAGTTGAAATGCTGGCCATTATTTTTCATAAACTTCTTTATTCAATATAAGATGAGTAAACTTGGTGTATGCAACATATAACTGACCTCAGACTTTCTGCAATTGATATTTTTGTGATCAAAATCGATTAAAGAATTGGTAACGCATAGGTATCAACCTATCTGTTCTAATATATGCTTTCTAGCAGTTATAGATATCAAAAATTACCTCACCTTTTCCTTCGTTGGATATCTCCTTCCCAACGAAATTAATATATATCGTTGTATATCATGTTCCAGAAAATACAAAAATGAATGTTCCGTAAGATAGCGGAGAAAGCTAATTTTGATCTTGACAATATTCACCTTTAAGTATCAGGTGGCTAAATAACTTACTAGCCAAACAGCATCATGAATATCCGGTTATTTTTGGATTCAAATTCTGAATTTTTAAGAATAATTGCAAAGTAAAGACAATAAAATTCACGGTTTTATATCATGATCCTTTATCAAAAGCAAACAGAACAAAGGTACCACATTCAATTTGTTACCAATATTAGTCTACAGAGTGTACCTAGTAAGGTCTTCATGGAGTTATTTAAAACCCTGGAGTTTTTTCTTCTGGTAACATTAAAACTGGAGAAAACTTTTAATAAAAATAAAGTGATTAAAAAAATTTGTAACATTTTAAACTAGTAAAAAGGATGAATTTTCAACATGCATCCCTGTCTCATTCCGCGGGTTGAAGAAGAGTTTTTCAAGTCTCAGTATTGATTAGGTCCACCAACATACGGATAATAACCACTTTCATTTCGATTTTCCAATGTAGTTAGATTTGCCTACAAATTAACTCGAAGAAGCAGAGTTTCAAACTTAATTTTAGATTACCATTATTTTATATGAAATTGAATTTAAATGAATAAATCCTACACATCACAGTTCCTTCTGGAAAGTTTAAGAAAAACTTATGTATGGAACGAACTTCTGATATAGCTGGACTCATCCCATCCAATGATTGGTTAATGCATCGTTTTTGACGCTTATCTCTGGCACGATTATACAACCAGCAAAATAATGTTGCGAACAGCGAAAGAAGAACAAGAGCACAAAACAGAGAAAGGAGTGCAATTGCCCAAGCGTACTTTCCTTGCCTGTAAAATGGTTCCTTAATTTTTTTTTTTTTTTTTTGATGACCTCTCTCTCTCTCTCGTAGGATTTTAAAAACAGGGAAAGTTAGAGAAGATTGAAATCCATTTGGCAGGTTAAAAAAGCCTATTAATCGGGATAGAAACTGTAACCTAATTTTAACTACATAGAAAATTAACCATGAAGGATTTTTGCAGCACGTTGTTTCACAACATCCAACATTTGCCAGACATCGTTTGACGACACGAACTGGAGAATTTTCCATTCCATATATACAGTCAATGAAATTTGCATCATTTGCTGCAAATTATTAACAAAATGTAGCTATAAAAAGTTCTAAATTCCAATTTAGCCAATATCTCAAATCCGTGGAAGCAAATGAAAAGAAAAAAATTGCAACAATTACTGCATGCATAATGTGTATTACAAATACTGTCTCATAAACCACAATATGCTTTCCATCATGACGACAGATAGCATGGTAGAATAATGTAAATAGAACAATGAATGTCAATAGGTCATCATAAATGAAGAGAGAAAACCTCATCAAAATTATAGCTCACCGATGTCAGAAATAGCTCATTTAAATTATGTTATGATTAATTTCATCACTTAATTAGTTCATTTTCAGAATAACTGGTTGCTTTACAACTCTATGAAATGAATAAAGTTACGTTCCCAAAAAACGATTTTTCAATACAACCAACCATACACTTCTCATAACTGCAATTTCACTGCTTAGTTATTTAATTAACTTACGATCTGCTTTTTGGTTAAGGAGTCTGTTGGCCCCTATTAACCTTAGTCGTGCTTCATTTCCAAACTGTAGTCCAGAATTTTCAAATCCAGTATCGTACTGTAACGGAAATGGTTGCTTGGTTTTATTTGACACATACAGATAACCTAAAACTATTCATAAAATTTTCTGGACAAATATAGACAGGATGTGAGTTAAACAGCTATCTGTTCGTAAAGAAAATGGTTATTTTTACAAATAAACAAAAGGAGAAAAAGGATGCACCAACCCACTTATTTGCTTAGAGTTTGCTCAATTACAGATTTCATTGCAAACACAAAATTTAAGGCAAAGAAAGAATTTAAAAAGGAAAAACCATTCAAAGTATATTTGGTTATCAGATAAAAATATCGGCATGTGTCATAGTAAGTATGATAATTATCAAATTGTGAATTAGAGGCTAACCCGGTGCATCCCATCTGGACCACGGCGATGAATGTACTTGAGCCATGAACAATTCCAATCAATAATTATGAACACTGCAGGACAGTAACTGATCTCATTTCTAATCATTTTTATTCAATTTATACAAAGTACAATCAAAAAAATAACTGGCAATGTAATTAATAAGGGAATAATGAATATGACCAGATAAACAAAACAGGACAATTTCTCCTTTTTTGTCACTCCAGTCCTTCTAATCGGTTTTTCAAAGCCGTTTTTTTTTAGAAGGAAATTGTTGTATTTCCCTTTTTAAAAAAATAATAATGTTCGTACCATAATTAGGTTCGTACTATAATTCTAGCATAGCTAGAATTTGTCAGGATTATATGAAATGCTGATTATTCGTTAAGGAGTGTGGAAAGGAATGTTAAAAGAAAGCAATGAGAAACAAAGGTAGTAGAGATTGGGTAGAACAGACATAGTAAAGATGTTCGAGTTGGACAAACATTAAAAATTGGCAAATATCTTGCAATGCACACGCAACAGGATAAAAGTATATATGCCGCATTTCCAGTGAATAATAAATTTCATATCCACTGAAACGTTTTCTAACACGACTTTTAAAACTTTTCCTCAAGGAAAACTTTCATAAATAGATAGCCAAAGTAGTACATGAACCCACAGATAATTCTTGATTATAAGTTCTTTTTTATCACAAATAAAAGTCCCGACGTTAAACAAATGTAGGAAAAAATCTAGAAATTTAGAATACTCCTTACCAACACTATAGCACTTGTAAGAATGATGAAATGTTTGTGAAAAACAACGGATGCAATCACTCCAATACCAGCGACAGAGGAGATAGAGTTATTACTCAGTTTGTTGAATTTGTCGTGGTAGCAAGTGTAAGTTGTGCAAACACCGATTTAGCACAAATTATACATTACTGCACACCCACTCATTATCCATATGCTTCCAATGACACCTTCATCCATCATGTTAGTAAATACAGAAATTCCTCTTGAATTTTCCAGAAACAACTTTACATATATTCAATCTAGACTATATATATTTCCAACTTTGTTGGGTCAGTATTGCCATTTTCATTGCACTCACATAGCGCTTTGGCTCAAGGGATAGAAACTAAACTTTAGCATTATCTCAAAGAAGCAAAAAGAAAATGTTATAGATATTGATCCACCTGCATTTTGCTTCATATAAATCGCAGCTTATTAGTTTGAAAAACCATTTGAAAAGCATTAATATAATGGTATGTATGAGAATCTATTTTGAAAATTTACATATAATAAATAGAATCCATGTCGCTGCCTTTTTATTAATCTTAAGCTATCAAAGTAACACTTTTCAAAATCACTGACTTACATGCAACATATCTCTTATTTTGCATCATAAGATACTCCTGTCTTATGACATGGTCCACTATCGTTTATTCAAAATGAGGGATAAACTACATAATACATCATATTATTACAACGAAACATATTAAACTGGTTAAGCAGTAACATGCATAAACTATATATAAAACTGACATCAACCGAATCGATATTTCGTTTTTTTTGATCAGAACAACAACGTTTGAAGTGAGGAATGAAGTGAACTGCGAAATATTCGGAAAGAAGTGAATCAAATAAATATCTATAACCACAAAAAAGAATTTATAACCACTTTTTACATATATATATAAAGAAGTTTGAAATTAAAGTTGGATAAGCAACAAATGAGAATCTTCAAATACAGACTATGAAAATTGATGAGAAAGGGGTAGTTCCTGTTTTCTTTCGTTTTTTTTTTTTTTTTTTTTGTAAATGAATTAAAATGAGCCCATATATATATGAATATAAAAGACTAACTTTATACTCTTATATTAAAGTTTATTTTAGAAAACAAAATTTGACATTTGTCAACTGGTCAAATGCAGGGTACTCAGAACTATTCGGATACGGAAGCTACGCTGGACAGTATATCGAAAGCCCAAGCAGCAGATGGTGGATCAAGATAAATAATAAGTACTTGAAGACTACAAGGGAGTTGTGTCGGATACCGACTTTTTAAAATCCAAGATCAATGTCCCCACAACAAACAATTCCTCTTCTCCACAGCTTAACATCTAACATTCGTGACGCCCTCGTCTCACATCCCAATAAAGAAATGCAGAAAGACTAAGACTGCTGGATAAAAACTACTCAGTAATTTCTCACGTTGCACAACAACTAAGCCTTACCTTCCTTTCAAGTTTCGAAATATACACGAAGATCATCTCCACCTAAATACCCCCCCAAAACTCAACCTTCCTGAGCGAAAACAAAGACGAATATTGTCAACTATAGGTCTGGGTGCCCCTTCCTCGAAGATTGAAAGGAAAACGGTACGAAAATGCCGCAAGTACAAACTGGACTAGTACTGGTCGAAATGCTGTGAGTAGGTTGCAATCGTTGCAGAAAGCAGTTTGCATGATTTCAGCTCACATGTACCAGTGGACGAAACAATAAGACCATTTAAAAGAATATATTTACTCATTTCACGACAAATTAGAAGACCAAAAGTTTGTCAAACACAGTACTCTGGAATGGACAACAATACCACATCCAACCCTTAACAAAGGCATTTCCATGCAAAAATGAAAATGGAAATGTTTACTGTTTCGACATGTTAACAAAACCACCAGGATCTATCCCACCCTCTACATACGCATGTTTTTGCAAAATGCATAACACTGCCTCTGGTAACAAAAAAAAAAAAAAAAAAACAAAGTGGTTCTCTATGAACACTTTATACGGGGGCTGGGGAACTGAGGATAGGATCCACGGGAAACAAAAATACACTTCACCTACCAACTCTAATATTTGGTTAAGAAAAAAATGTCTGATTCCACTTTATATTACTAGGTGGTGTAGGTATCTCCTAAAATAAATCCCCAAATAAATAACGAACAATGCATTTAAGGAATACATCGATAAAGTAACTGACGAAGTAATACTAGAATAAAAGATGTTAAGAAATTTAAATAAACAACTGCCGGAAACACAAAACATCTAGTTATCATGATAAATGCGACAAAGCAACAGAAATCATAATTGGAAATCACCGTAACAAGAAGTCAAAACCACTCTATATACATGTCATATTCAATGTAAAAAATTAACTGGCGAGAACGAACTTTGTGTTAAAAAGCAACCATGAAACATAATTGATTTACATCATGCTACATATGTATATATATATATCCACACACATACACACATCCACATATATCACCAATAATGGGAAAACTTTACTTGCGGTAAAACGAGATATAAATACACGAAAGAAATACACACACAGGTAGACATACACACTGACGTATGTGCACAAGTATTCACATTAGTCAAAGAACCTATAATCGACCTTTCGTTTTCAGTACCACCAATGTCTCTATTTGGATGATGAAACTATTCCACACAAAATCAATTTATAACTACTGACAACAAGCTCCTAAAATCTTCTTTTTTGAAACAAACCCAACCAGAAAAGAAAAGTGGTAAAAGAAACAAATCACTTCCGCATGCAAAAATCCGTCATAGAGGTATATCCAAGTTATTCCGTCGTTTCATAATAATAAACGAAATCTAAATACCATAATATAATTAAGCTGAACCAATAACTGTCACTACTAATAACTTTTCATAAACTACTGCTTTCTTAGATCTTCACACACAACTAACAATAAGATAAAAACACCCTCTCAACCACTGCAGCTGCAGCAAATCGATTTCTGTCTCTAGATTCTATTTAAACATTTAAAAATACCTTTCCGTAAGCAAAACAAGATAAAAAGGCAGGAGCCGATATTTGACGGGCAATACTCACGCCATAAGAGGTCTGCCAAATAGCGGAGTTTCACAAAAAACTTCACAGATAAGATGAGATACAGGCTTTGCGCTTTTTATGTTTATTTGCAAATGACGTTTCAAAAATGGAACAAAGCAAGTAAAATTCACAAATGCTAATAGGAAAAAACTATTTCCATCGGTTTAATCAGTTTTACCACTGCTGAATACATATTAGTCTCATAGTTGCGTATTCATTAGTCAACAAACCTAATTAAAGTGAAATGTGAGAAAGTATTAAAGATCAACTTATTCCGCATCAAGTTTGACTGGAGTGGTAGCAGATTCTTCCGGAACCACTGAAGCCAAGGAATCAACCGATATAGTCGGCACCTGCAAGAAACTGAAATAAATTGGCATTATCTACTGTAAGGTGAATCCTTGCTGATAGGATCGAGCCATTACTAAACCTGGAGCTGCATAAAGTAATCAAATACTTCATGATGTAATTATATTTATCAGTAAGGTTACAAATGTAACACATTATGACAAAAAAAAGCCAACCTTAGGTAAATTAGAGGCACCTGGACTTTTACAAGGTGATGCCGCTGATAATGATGCGGAGGTTAAATGATGCTGTGAACCAGTCTGCTGTGCAGGTGGAGTTCCATCTTTTACTTCAGCTGGACCATCAGGTGAGGACGCCGGTCTTACAGCTGGTGAAACTGTAGTACGACTGCTATTGTTTGCCTGAAAAAGAAACACTATTTAGTACATATTAGAACAGTGACAACAAAGAGATAATTATTTCTCGAACTAAATGCGTGAGAATAGACATAAACGAAAACTAACTTTTGGTGAATGGGCTACCTGAACGGCAGGTGATTGCCTGGCAACCGGTGCAGCACTGGTTGTCATTGCAGATGAAGCAGCAGCCAATGTTGAAAGTGCAGCAGCAGGACCACTATGTGGTGAATTCGCTGCAGCATTTGCAAAACTAGCTAATGCAGCAGTACTCGGATTCATCATCAGTGGATTCAATAATGGGTTGCCCATCGCTAACAATGGATTTGAATAAGGAAATGACGGCAAATTGCCGCCAACTGGTAAACCATTAAAACCTAAAGCATAACGTAGAGTTTGCACGCATTTGGTTAGAAAATTAAGAAACAATGTTTGCTTATCGTCCCGAAAAACCACACTTCCTGCATAACATTCATAAAATTAACTTCAAACATAAAAATTACCATCAGCGATAGACGTTCCAAATGATGGCATCAAAGGATTAAATGAACTTGATACATTCGGCGCCAAGGATGTAGATGATGTTGGCCTTCGAGTATGTCCAGCAAGAAGAGCTTCCTTGTTGACACAGTTAGTGAGATCATGAGGACATCTACCAACGATAGCGCGTCGAACTTCCCGTGCTGCTGATAAACGCAATTCCTTGCACGAAGCATCCGAATACCAGGAGCAATGAGGAGTGTGGATGATATTCGGTACGGCCGATAAAGGCCCTGCAAAAATTTGCAGTTCGTAACAACAAATAATGGTATTACACTCTATTAATACTGAAACTAAAAATCAAAGGAACCATCTTAATAGATACGTAAAACGTTACCCATAGCGAGGGGATCAAAAGGTTCATGTTCATGAACATCAAGCGCTGCGGCTTTAATGTGTCCCGATTTCAGCGATTCACCCAATGCACTTTCTTGAATAAGACCACCTCTCGAAGTGTTTACAATAAACGCACCAGGTCGCATTTGTTTGATTGTCATCTGTCGTTATGAGTAATCAAGTAATTCAAATATATGAATGACTCTGGTTAAAATTTAAGTTACAACGAAACTACCAGATACAGGGAATCGTGGAGATATGTGATAATACCAGTAATTCATCTCAAAATAATAAACCTTTCTCCAGTAAAACTTCTAAAGTTTTCATCCTTTCATCCTCATATTGTAAATATAGTTGACATGGGACAAGAAAGTGGATTAAGTGTCCCTTAGCTAATACTCAGACAAATAATGAATTTGTTTAGCGTCTAAATAATCGACATAATTTTATCTTCTGGATAGTAGTTGGAAGCAAACCGAAAGAAAACAATAAAAGTTGAGTTAAACAACTAACATCGTTGATCATGTGCCTTGTTTCATCAGTTAGTGGACAATGCAACGTTATACAATCGGATTTGAATAAAATATCGTCGAGATTGTAACAGCGCTCAATACCTAAAGACCTATCGACTCCCTCTGGTAAATGCGGATCAAAAAAACAAATTTTGAATCCAAATGCTTTAGCACGCATCGCTACTGCCGTACCCACACGACCAAGGCCAATAATACCCAAAGTATCGTCGCGAATCCGTGTACTACCACTAGCCAATTCACGTACTTGTTCAACACCGCTAACCTAAAAATGAAATACAATAAGTAAAACGAATAATTTCGATTTGTCCAATGACTTACAATAAGAAAAACTGGACCCGTAATATGGCGCGAATAAAGAGTAAAAAAACCTTTTTCCCTTCGGAAACTGCTTTTGCCAACCAGAATGTCTTCCTATACATATTTAAAATTAACGACACTGTTGTATCAGCCACTTCTTCAACACAATCACCGGGTGTGTTACAAACAGCGATCCCTAAAAAAAAAAAAACGATGCAATTTGGTTTATAGAGTCAACTCTACAGTTCACTAAATACTGCATTCATGGAAGTGCAAAATGTTCATTTGTCCTTTTATGCTACTTCAGAACATTTATGCTAGTTATGCTTGCAATAAAACACGAAGCCAAAAAGATGACTTAATCTGATGAAGATCAGTTTCAATAAACTGCGTGAAAGATGTAATACATGACAGACTTCAACCTAATATGATATGGATTATGTTGAATTCTTTATGTTCTTCGCAATGGGAAAGATGATATGAAGAGTGACTTCGCTACTCGAGAAGGAAAAATACTGGTTTTCTAACAACTTCCTGAATAATCGTCTTCTTTTTTTTTTTTAAAAAAAAAAACGAAAGCATGCACACTTCAGAATAAGAAATTTCTCCAAAATTGAAAAATGATGCTTTACAAATGTTTGTAATATTGTAATCACTTACAGGCGAAGTTTTAGATTATCTTTTCTGGGCAAAGGATTTCTTGTCAGCTAACTTCGAATTAGAATAAGAAACCTTCAAATTAAATAAAGAATTCGATTCATGGTGGTTTTGAGAGTTTTAAAACTAGTTCCTCGTTAAATATTGATTTGGATTTTAAAATTTGCTTATTGCCTCACATTCCAGGCACAATGTTAATTACCATCTGTTTATGTAAATATCAAAGAAATGAAAATCATGTGCTATCAATTAGACGAAATGGCACAGTGGTCGATATGAGAACTTCATCATGAAAGTATTCATCGTTCTTTTTTAAGAGATTAGCTCACTATACGTTATAATCTAAACTTACCTACTCACCTCAAATCTGAAGAAAATCATTTGTAATAGAAAGGATTTAGGAATACTGTTAATCTCCTTAAATAATAACTTAATCTGCAGTTGTTTCTTTTAGAACTAGACAGGCAAGGAATTAATCACAATTCTACTTGCTTGAGATTCTAGTGTAGAGTTTTTCAGTTTTGGCTGAAAATTTCTACTTGGAGTACATTATCACTGATTCCAAAATTATCAAAAAACAGGTCATTTGTACGCTTCAATAGGCTTACATACAACAAAACTAATACAAAAACACAGCTTATATCCATTCATAAAAACATAAACCTACCGAGATCTGTTGCTGCCTTCACATCAATATTATCAGTACCTGTTCCGATTCGTACAACTACCCGCAATGCTTTAAATTTTTCTAAATCCTCGCGTTCAAGCGTTATTGAATGCCACATTAATGCAGCAACCGCTTCATTAAGCACCTAAAATTCCCAAAAACCACGACTATGAAAATAAGATATACTAACACTTTATTCACCATTAAAAGCTGATATAATACGTATCGAAAATCCACACCTTTTCATGAATTTCATGAGTAGATTGTGCATCACAGAATGCTACCGTTGCAACATCCTTTAAAATCGGCATTTCAACAGTACAATCCCGACCATCTAGAAGTGCAACTAGTGGGCGTCCCGTGGCACCATTCGACATACGACCACTCACTATAAATAAAGTAGTTAACATATGTGTCAGAAAAATAAAAGTTAATTAAATATTATCCAATAAAATATTGTAACTTGGAAAACTTGAAAACCATTCTGTTACAGTGCATTTATAACCTGCTAAATCAACACTAGCCTTTATACATTCATTATCATGCTCCACGCATATTGCTTTTGTAACTACCACATAAAAAATACATGACCAAATATCTGTCCCTCATATCAGAAAATGTTTGGCGAAAAAGGAAAGAAATGTTTGCCAGAAAAAGTGTTTAGTGCATATAAATGGAGATAGAGCGAACATGATAACCTATACGAACATGTCTTTCATGGTTGCCCAAATTTCTATTCTTATGCTAATTGTCTCCAATCGATCTCTCACTAGATAAAGTAGTACTAAGTAAATCAGAATACCTTAGCTTCTAAACACTGAAGTACCGTAGCGAAAATATGAGAAGAAAACTGAGTGCAAAAATTAAAAAAAAAAAAATGCTGCTACTTAATTGATAATGTTACACTTCAAAGACTCGAAAGCGAGTTTAATAAATTTCCGAAGCATTCAATAACATTAACTGAAAACGAACATCACTGAATAATAAAAAAATGGTGCTTACTAGTTAGTATATTTGCGACGAAATGATTGTGTCTGAGGTCAGCTGAAGATTCGGCCGATGCGGCAGCAGCAGCAGCAGCAGCGGCAGCAGTTGTGGTAGCAGCAGCGTTATTATTGTTGGAGGATGATGGAAAACGAAGTGAGCTGCACGGAGGGTTTGAATCTATAAGAGGCGCTCTTGTTAATTCACTCACATACATACACATACACAGACATACTCTCAGTTGCACATGCAAAAGGAAGACGCCAAGATGGGTGGGCAAGTGGCTGGGGCAGCGCCCCCGCTTTCCCTATAACACCCAGCAGCTATGTAGAATTTAGAAAAGGACGGAGCAGGATGAGTGTGGGCTTCTTCTTTAGGATAAGGGAGGAACGGACGGATGGACCGATGAATGGATATGACTCCGTGTGCATGCCATATCTATATGGTGACGTCTAACTACTTGATCTCCCCCGCCCATTCCTTCTCCCCGGAGATCTGCTGACCTTTGCCCTTCATTTAACTGCTTAACAATGACGCTTTTGTTTGCTCTGACAGGTGCGAGTCGAGTTATAACATGCAGTCACTCAAGTAATAACTACTAATTAATAAGTGCCTGAGGGTGCATCTATGCCAACCTCTACAAGACATCCCTCTGTTCCTCTCAAGCACAATTTTACTTCACACTCACAATTCTGTCTTGTCCTCAACATCTACTTCCTCTAGTTGCAGGCACAAAAATAAACTTTTAATAAGAACCGTAAATATCTTAACCAAAAAAAGTTACTGTATTTATTAAATAACTTGAAAACAATATCCAAAAAAAAAATTTTTTTTAAACCTTCATCCAGCTTTCTTAATACTAATAATTTGTTATCTTTCAGAATTGGGAAGTTCTAACATTAACCCCTCCGTCAGATATTATCCAAATTTTTGTCATCAAGTAACGCAGCAGTGCTCGCCGTATGTATTCAGCATTTAATTTAATTGTTGAAATTGCGATAGTCATGCACATCGCACCCAATGCTTTTCCTATCCTGCTTCTTCCTTCCCCACCCTAGTTTCTCCACCCAGTTTTCTGCATTATAAAAAAAAAGGTTTCGAACTGAGGCCTGAGATGATTAACCACCAATCTTTTAACTGCTAAATTGGAAATTCATTTTTCGCAAATCAGACCAAAGCACACAATAGATCCTAAACAAAGATTAGAAAGAGGAAGGAGAGTAACTAGAGGACAAACATGTAAGAACACTTTATGTCCGTAAAAGAATATGATGTGACTTGGGGAAACAATAGCTATTAGCATCGACATGCCTCATAACTAAAATTCAAATACGTTTGTAAATAACGAGCAAGTCTTCCTACTTTGTTTTCCGAGGAAATTGAAATTTCAGTAGAATTGAAGACAGTATCATTTTTCTTATGAAGGATTCCCTTACATAATGACAACCGTCCTATTACTTATAATTTGATACTTGACATGTCTTATGTTAAATAACCAGACATAAATTTGCCTGGAAGTGTCATTACCAAAATAAAAAATTAATGAAGACGGTTGCCAGGGCGATTTATAAACATATCTTCTTTTTTTTTTTCACATCTCTCTCTCTATATATATTTCGTGTTTATATGTAGAACTTTTATAAAAAAAAATGAAAAATAAAAATCTTTGATTAATATAACTTTAGAGTGTTAAACTACGGCATCTAGTGACATATGCCATAAGATCGCAAAGTGAGAGACAGTGATGAAAGGAGAATTAATAAAGAAAAAAGGAAAAAACCAGAAGTGACCGTCAATAACGGAGCGACTTTTCCAGCTAGCCAAATAATCAGCGGTGACCGCCAATGAACGACCTCGTTTCACGGAGGTGCTTGCTGCGGAGCTGTTGGAACAGGGTGTGGAACGAGCTGATGACCTCGGCTGCTGGAGAGCTCGTCGTCGATCGCTGCTTTTTGTTTCTTTTGGCGGGAGCTCAATCGAGATTGGTGCGTCCAACTGTAACAATACCCCTATGAATTTATTTTATTACATCATTCCGTCCCTTCACACAGCCATATTCTCAGTTCTCCTCTCTCCACTATCATCCATCCACTTTTACAGGAAGAATTGGAGAACACTTCCCGGTTTCAGAGTAATATAGGCTAATATGCTGTCTTGAAATAAGTTCTAATAAGCTCCAGAATTCTCCTTATTTCAGATCAGCGACATGGATCCTGCACCACCACCGGAGAAACGCGCTGATTACTAAACCCTACAGTTTTGATAATCCGATACGACGGGTGAGTCTTTGATTCTTGATAGCTGAAAATTTCATAAGAAAAAATCTAGACAGGGTTTTCTAGTCATGTTATAATGAGTGCCCACAAAGCATGATCCTACAAGCATCACTCCAAGATACTATAACGGTTACAGAAATGGAACTAACCTGTGGATCCGGCACAGGAATATCACCTTCCTTTTTCTCGCCTCCTTCGAAATGTGCCGAACAAATGCGCAGCTGAAATGAAATTCGCATGAACATAAAAGGAAATTCTATTGAAATATTATAAAGAAGGCTTTTGATTTCCAAAAATGAATAGAAGTAAATGTCTCAAAATTGCAACCGAAGATAAAGGGAATTCCCAAGTCGTTTAATAAAAGGGGGAGATATCATCAACATCTATCCAAAGTTGTATTATCATAACCACCATTTGAAAACAATCATTTCAATGCGCAGAACGAGTTTACAGGAATTCATCCAATATTAAGGTGGGTAATGACGAAGCGACTAACTGGAAGTAAATCAAAAAGGAGCTTCTGGGAGTTGTGTTATAAACTGAATATATGAAGGCTAAACAACCGCCAACTAATCTGAACTAGTTATACAGAATACAACTTTTGCAAGAATCAATTACGAAGTTGTGAAATTTCGGAAGCAAATAAATTGCACAGTCAAGATTTATATCTGCGAATGAGAAGTCTTCGTTCGCTTTGCGTTCTTGGCTTGACCATGTAGAGCGGTCACTCTGTCGATTTTGATGTTCCACAAAAGAATTGTGCCTATATGCTGTCATACATTATCTGTACAAACTCAAATCCCAACGTCATTTTCCCAAACTGCATATTATGGTTACTGCTTCCATAAATTGACAAGGTCAGTTAATTTATTATTTCACAGCTCTTGACCTTTTTATGCGGATTCCCAATATCCAGAAAATCGTACAAAACTTATTAATCCACATTACTTTCCCCTGTGGATGCACTGTGGTTGACATAGTAAAGTCACAATTGGCCCGACTATTACCGGTCTCTCGATAAAAGCTAAAAATGTCGATGCTAAGACTGCCGCCTTTAGCTTGCTTTAACCTTCTGCAAATGCGTCCCCACGATACTCTGATATGATTTGACCATTATAGCACTTAAGCTGGATTCCACAAGGCATGAAAGACTGTTCCAACTTATGAAAATAGACGAGGGAGACTCGCTCTTCCGGACTTTTGTTATTCCTGGATTCATTACCAACAAAATGGTTTCTTTTCCTTTCTTAAAAGTTAATGAGATAGAGAAATATGAATGAAACGGAATGTCAATGTTATGCTAAATTACCAGATAATAGCGAATTAAAGTATCAAGAAGTGCGTGCATCAAGAAAATTCGAAAATATAATGCACGCAGATAAGGTACTTCACAAAAGTGAAATACTGCAATAATTTTGTAAAAGATTGTTTACTAAATTAAAGTGGTCAAGCAATTTAAATAATCATCTTACGCTACTGACATTCTATGGTTTATGAAGCTGTTTCCTGACCAGATATTTAACACCTAGGGTAAGGATAACAAGTTGGCAGTGATGAAATGTAAATATATTATCCAAAAGTCAGAATCAATTCAAAACATAAATTAGTTAATTGCTGAATTAAACACAGCATCCCGTCATTTTGAAAATACTCATATAATCGTAACCGATAAGAAATCACGAAGAACACTGAATGACGAAATGATTATAACAATCATAACAGTTAGATGAAATAAATTATTACCTGACATGTTAGCCTGATTCAGAATTCATTATACTGGAGCTATTTGTTAAGTCTTACATTCCTGAGCCGGAATTTCAACCAAATAACAATGCTCCGATTCTATACTAATTCTTTAGAGGACGTTAAACAGAAAAACATAAATGAAAGTATACTTTAACAATGAACAAGAAAGAGAACAAAATTCCTTCTCCCGTTCACATAGTGAAAGTAAAATTAAAATACCGGATTTAGAGCAGAAATATTGGGTCCGAACACATTTGTGCAAGGCTTTTTTCCTTTGCTATTGAGAGTAAATACTGCAATTCACATATGTTTATTTTGACCGCTTTACAGGAATTTAGTTTTGAAAAACTTAAGAAATTTTAAGTTGACTAAATCCTTTTACCAAACAAAGAGGCATGAAACGCTATATTCGAGAAATTATTCTAAGCCAAGCTCTAAGACTGCTCAAGTGATTCCTACCATTCACAAACGAATCAGATTACCATTAAAACCTGCTTTGTGTTTCAAGAATCCTCGAAGACAGAAAACTACTAGCATCATTTTATTACAATTAACTGTGGCATATAAATAAATAACCACAAACATACATGAACTGCAATATTTACCTGAAAAAAAAAATGGGCAAAAAACCACTCGAAATTAAATGATAGTCAATTATAAGACGCTTCGTTAAACAATCATATTTTAAAAGCGGTGACGTCTTTTTACTCGGATACTTCTTTATATGCAAAACGAGAGTGATTTTACGTTAATATACTTAAAATGAATGCAGAGGATGAGTTTTGCAGTTTTATCAAATATACTCACTCACTGACACACTAACCATGCATAATTGTGTTTGATACAAGAGTGTTCATCGAACAGGTAGGAACATAACACATACATGTCATACATACAATTACTATTCTAATACATCAGTCAAACAGTAGCCAAACAACGAAAAAGAGAAATCAAATTTTCAAAAAAAAAGCTTTGGGAGAGGTGATTAATGCATTCTTACCGGAAGGAAACATGTAGTGAAGAGTGCTCAGAGCTGGCCTTGTCGAGCCTTGTGCTCCACGTTTACAACACGCTATCTGCAAACCGACATGCGTATACAATTTCACATTTCTCTAATTCATAAACTTTTCATGAAATACTACTATGGTCATTAGTGACTTGAATTTATTTTACTAAGCACATCAAAATTAGAGGGAAATTTTAAGGCTTCAAAAGAATGTGTTTTGCTCCACACGAATTTGACACGATCCATGATTCGAAAAAACATTTGATATGGACTGACCATAGCTACTAAAATATAAGATGGAACTGCGTCAATAGTTTTTAAGCATGCACAGGTAGAAAGAGGAGGTAAGGCTTTTTTGGTGAAAAACATTTTGCGGAAAGATTAACTAGAGTATGCTTCATTACTCTTTTTTCACAATTTCAGTTAAAGAAAAATAGTATGATTTTACAAGGTGTAGGATGTGCTAGAAAAAAAGCAAAATGAAGCATATATACAAGATTCTTGGAAGCGGCTGGAAGGCAAACCCTCACAAAATTCCAAATTATATTCATTACTTGTGTATATGTGAGCAACTATAGAACAGAAGCAATACAAGCCTAGCCGAACTTTAGTATTTACGGCGACAGAAGCAAACACGTTTAAAAAGGTAATTGCCTTGAATTATCTTAATAATGAGTATTGTACAGAACCGGAATATATCATCTTTGAAATATTTCCATATTGCATAATCTTGAAATACTTTGCATGCAGTTAAACATCCAAATATAACCCAACTTACTACAACACTAAATGATATCCCTCTAGCTAGTTTTGAGAATGCACAACTAATCAGAGTAAAGATGGTTCGAAACTTGTTTTTCTCAATCCTCTGAAACTACTGGAACTGGAAGTCATCCATCGTTTGTTTTCTGCGTTTAAATACACCGAAATAAATATAACTGCATTATGGAAACCTGGATCAAAAATAGCAAGTAGATAATAAACTGTAAAGAACTGGAAACAGCAAATCAAAGCAGTGAATTCGATAATGTCAGCTCAATGTTAACATCTTCTTTTGATGGTTAATATATGTAAGAAAATTTTTAATTTACTGTCACTTATGTAAATGAAAGATTTTTATCGTTAAGTGTGTGCGCTGCAGTATTCTTAACAAACGATAATAAAAGTACATTAGGACAGCTGAAGCGACAGTTTCCACTTAATAACTTTCAAATGATTCCGATATGAAAACACGGACGGATAAAAAAACTGTTTTGAAATAAATGGATCTTCTTGCAGAAAACTGAAAAAAAAAAAAGCACTTCAGTAGCTTTTGGAGAAGCTTTGTTCATTTTCCTGAAAAGCCACAGCAAGCTTGTATCTACTCCAACTCAACTTAAAAGATCCTTCCATATATATAAGGCACACACCGAATCAAAGGAAGACAAGCACTTATTTAGAATGCTGTAATGAAATAAAGACGGCATTATCTAACTTAAATCTACATCTTTAACACTCATTGTACTAAAACTATCACCACAGTCACTATCAGCAAGTATAAGTACTATATACTAAAGATTCTTTTATCTTATAGTTGAAAGTTCAGGGGACAAAACTTAAATCAATAAGAAAAATGCGAACAGTTTGAAAGCTACTCAAAAACTGAATCAGTAAAATTCAATGGAACCAATTTCACAACTTTCAAAACTGTGATCAATCCTCGTCTACGATCATGGTAGACCATAGTCATGCAAAATTTTTTCATTCGAACTAAAGATACCATATTTGACATTAATTTGTCAGCCTCTTAGACTATTTAATTTTTCGACTCTAAACTTAAATGCAAATCATTTAATGTCGAATCATTAATGAATTAAGCTTATTTCGACTTCTGTAAGCGTGGGGGAGCTGACCATGTTTGGCCAAAGCATCCTGACTTACAAATAAAAAGTCGGTAATGCCTTACAATGATAATATCAGTAAGACACTTCTGCGAAACGTATTTGCTTAATACATTGAAATGACATAAGATACAGAATGAAAAAAAAAACATGGCGTAGAAGAGAGTAAGCAGTAGCAGCAGCATAATCAGCAGATCTTAGTAGGGGAACCAGGAAATCACATGTTGAATTCGATAAGGGATAGTCTGAAATGTCGAAAAAGCGTAAATCTCATTCAGCTAACGATTGGTGATTTTTGGGTGCGACGCAAAGGAAGACTGACTTGTTCCCACTAGTTCCTTATAAGCAACAAATACATGAAGTTACACTTTACATTTTCATTTAAACTAATTAGCTACTCAGTTTTGTGGCTTTAAAGACTTTTCATATAAACAAATCACACTGAGCGAGAATGACGAGATTTCACGAAAAGCAAGTTATGCATGCAAGCAAATAAAACATGCAAAATTATGAGCATGAACATGCACTTTTGCATGCTCTCCGTTCATCTGTATGAGTGACATGCATACAGGAAGCAATACAACGGGTGCATCCTGACCTGTGAAACAACGGTATCCTCGGTTCGTCCAATTGCAAGTAACCAACGTTGCCGCAACACCTGTGGTCGTTTGGGTATTCGATAGAAATGTCGATTATCTTCTTGACCGCGATAGCGGGACCGAAATTTACAGTTCGGGAAGCCACAGGTGGTAGGCATCAGACATGCGCTGAACGAAGCAGCGCGCTGCAACCATTTAACACATCCACAACTGTTAATTTCATTAAGCTTACACAATATCTACAGTAGCGAGAAGATAACAGCCCATTATGGAGTAACTATGTATACAGTATATAGCGTACGTATACAAGGAGGAAGCATGAAAAGTATTAGCATCTATAGATAACTGGTACTTCATACTTCAGCTCCTCAAGTAGTATAGCAGTATCTGCTCCACCTAACACTGCTAAATTTGATAATCACGTACTACTTAGCAGTCTACTTCTATTTCACAACATTCACCTTTAGTGCCAATTTTAATCTCATACCTTCTATAGCAACAAAGCTCCAACAACCTGCTCAAAACATTCTAGTACTTTCGCTTCCTTCACCATTAGTCTAATCTAATTCATTTAAGTGATTTTTATCAAGTTGTTACGTACCTTTTTGGAATTTCTAGGTTTTAAATAGTTTTCGCTTATTCTGGAAACATTTCAGCGCTAAAAAAAATGTTACTAAATCTTTTTTCTGATTTAGTGCGCATCATTACTAATCAAGAAATAAATCAATAACTTATTATTAGCAAGAATAAACATAGCAGCCAGCCAGTGAAATACCGGATAACAAGGATGCAGCAGCATACGTGTACACCCTTTTAATTGGCTATAACTTAATATATAAGCACAAAAGCTAATAACAGATTCCAAAGCGATCACAGAAGCATTTAAAATCTGTGCGTGGAACAACCACAATATTTAGCAGCTAACAATTTCACTTTAGCGTATGTCCCTGCAAACCGTTCCATTCAATGTTTTTTTTTTTTTCTTTAT